TCATCCTTAGTGTGCCACATCTTTCTGGCCATCTTCAACTTCCCTTCTCCCTTTGGCTCCTTTGGTGGTGTTCCTTGTCCACACCGCAGCTTGCTGCTAGGGAGCCATCGTGACACGTGATCGACAACACTCCACCACCTGGGCACTGCACGAAGACAACCCCAAGGACTCCAAGCACCTCAATGAGTGCCCCGGCAGTCGAGATCTCGCCAAGTCGATTGGAATTACGAAAGCTGTTGGTGAGGCCTTTATGAACCAAGTCCCACTCTGGATTGCGGACGCCACAAGCATTGAAGGGTGGTGGGCATTGGAAAGGGGGCATTCTGTCTTGAATGCTGGGTGTTCATCAACGAAACTCGTAGAGTTCATTTGCCAAACACTCCATGGGACTAGAATATTCTGCCTACATTGACCGCTCAAACCATCCCAAGTGATTGGTGAATATGCCAGTCCCATGGAGGGAAAGTAGACCGTAAACCGGTTTTGATGGAACTCGCCGGCGAGTCAGCGAAAGGCGAGGAAAGGCACCGAAACCTCAGCACCGATGTGGGTTGGGAACCAGACCAGATTGACAGAGTCTGAAGATGAAATCACCCGGAGTCTGCCGGTTTTGGGGCAGAACCAAAACCGGCAGAAGGGCGGGCATCGCTGGGCGGACCCAGAACAAAGACACATGGGACAAAACAACGGGAAAAAACACCTCATCCCAACTCACCGCGCAGATTGGCCACCATCAATAGATCGTCAAATGGTCAAATCACACCCCAAAAGTATCCCAAAATGGCGAGAAGAACCACCCCGAAAACGAAACGAAACTCGAAGTCTAACCGCTGCAGGCAGCCAGGGTGGTTTCGTTTTCAGACGAACTATGATTCATGGAAGGCGGAATGCGAATCGACGCTTGGGGCGAGATCGGAGATCGGTCGGGCGCGCGTCGGTCACAAGCGCTGTTGTTGGTGGTGGCGGAGTGTGTGTGCTTTTGTTTTTGGTTTAAGACATCGTTTGGATATGTTTTGAGTCATCCGGGACTCAGATAGTTTTTGTTTTGAGTCCAGATAGAATGCGGGAAATCCAAAAGCAATACAACACTTCAGGAGTCACAAAGGGCTATTGGAGGATAGGGGTGCCCATTATATATCCACTCACTTAGGGACTATAGGCACCACCCCTTTGCGACTCCTGGCTGATTGGTTCAAGTTCAAATTCTATTTACTCCAGGAGGACTATTATGTGACTAATTAGTTGTGGGATGCAAGATGTTAAACTTTTAAACAATATGAACACATATGAACACGCTGACTGAGGTGATGTTGGCAATAAATCTATTATTTGGTTTTCATTAGGGCTACAAATTGGCGTACATTGTGCATGCATTCATTTGCGAACACTCACGAGAATGAACGGTGAACATTATATATACTATAGTTACCATCCTAGCCTATACCTTAAACTCTGACCCGTCGATTTGTTTTCTTTTTAAAGACCAACTCTTTTGTCAGAAGAAAGACCTGCAGATAGCCGAAATGATGGCTCCCACTCCTCGCAGCACTCAAACAGGTCCCAGACCCCAACCACGGTTGCCGTAACGGATGTCTTGTAGGGTCTCTTTAAAAAGCTAAATCTTCCAAGGTATATAGCATGCAAGAATTTCATGGATTAAGAGGAATTAGGAACTTCACACTGTGCCCTGGCCGGGAAAACCGGGCATCTTGGAGGCCATCGCGTTCTTAGGTTGGAGGCCATTACTACTAGTAACTAAGAAGCTACTAGGTGGAGGCCATCGCTACCAGGAGCAAGGACGCTACGAACGGGGCTCCTGGCCTTACTAGGAACAAGAACGCTACGAACGGAGCAAACGGCATCGCTACGAACGGAGCGATCGGACGCTCAACCGGCTGGGACGGCCGCACCGCAGGCGGTGCCGCGCTACGACGATCGGCGGGGCCCCGGGGTCCGCTTCAGCGAGGGGCTGCAGGGCTCACACGGGGTGAACGAGACGTCGGCCGCTGGGGCTGAAGGATCAGAACGAGTTTGTTTGTTTTCTTTTTCCGGGAGATATCCAGAGGATCACGCAGAATTCCTGGAGCAGGAAGATCCATGAAAAGGAAGATTATAGATTATATGTAGACCCCTTGATGATACATATCAGCACCTCTCCCATATGAAGAGGTGGTTCAATCCAACTACGGTAATCAAGAGTCTACATCAAGTACGAGCACCCAGATTTGGGATTTTGGGAAGCAGCGAAAGCTGGAGGTGTTTCGTTGGGTGGGGGGGGTCACACAGACCACGTTCTTCCAGGAAAGCGGAGCTTCAGATTCGTGGGGTTGGTGGATCCTTGGAAGGTTCCAGGGAGACACAACATCTCTACTCGTACTGACTGGTGCTTAGCAGGGAATGAGGGAATGGATCCAATAGAATCTCTATTGGGGGCTCATTCCCTTATTCCCTACTAAGGACCAGTCAGTCTAAAAACACGTTGTACTCCCTGATATTAGTCATGGTTACAGAGCGCTTAGCAGTGATGTTTGTGTCCAACACTCACCTATCGCTGGTGTGACAGTTGCTTCGGAGAAGGAAGACAGCGTGCCCCAAGTTCCTTTGTATGCCAAACAGCATCATATATGGTTCATAATGTTTCATGATTCCATTCAGCACAGGTTCTGAACGAGGTGATACATGGAATCGCTAGAACCGCCGTGCAGCCCACCCCGACGTGAGGTGATGAGTGTGATGACCCGTTGGCCAGTGAAGAATCACCACACGGACATCACCTCTGTGATGTGTGCCAAGAAAAACCAGATGAAGACGCTGGTTTGGGACCCAATTCATGATGTCCCAGTCGGACTCGTGATCTAGTGGTTTTCAGGTCGGCATCTTCCATGCCTTTGTCCGCGGGTTTGGTTGGTGCATGGTCCGGCAAAATCATGCAGGGTGCTTGATTGCGTCATCCAGGAAATTAACGAAAGTGTTAATAGCTACTGTAAGTGTGCCAGAATCGGCAAGAATCCAGTAGTTTGATAACTACTGCAAGTGTTTGGATAGACACTCATGCCGCAATGCCTTTCAGAACATGCCCAGCCCGGCTCAACTCTCAAAGGTGGCTTGAGAACTTTGTTTTTGCATTGTTTGCGATGATATTGTCAACAACAGGAGATGTGTAAACTCGCAAACTCAGTGCCTCTGAGTAGGGCCTGGTGAACACACATTTTTCTACAAAGAACATCAGTGAAGAGTCCCCAACTTTACTCGGTAAATCATGCACCAACAATTCCGACTGGGAGGAGTGTGGGTCAGGCACTGAAGCAGCTTCGCCCCGGAAACGCATTTGAAGCGTTTGAACGCGTTGACAGCGCGCCGGGAGTGCCGAAAACGGCATTCCTGAGCTTGAGAGCAGGGCTTATGGGGCCGAGAAGCAAAGCTGAAGACGAAGGTACTGCGATTGGCAGTCACATGTCGCCAGTGGATCCCCAAGGTGCAGTTGTTCTAAGTGTACAAACTCATCAGATGTAGAATAGCATAATAGTAACCTCAAGCATCATTGTCCAGCTTTGTATTTGTGTGATATTCTGCGTCGCTTGCGATCCACAGCGAATTGTTTGATGGCTTTGCTTAGCAGACATGACATTTGCCTGCAAGCAGGCATGATGCGGAAGAAGCTGCAAAATGCATTGCACACATCCACGGTGTTTTGGTGTGCGTACATCTCTAGAGTTGTTGACTGTTGACCTCAGCCCGAATAAGACCACCCACAGGGTCAGACAGTTTCGTCTTGCTGTGGAAACCACCAGACCGGGTCGGATGAGTGGTTATAGGAGGAATAAAAGGATCATACACTAATATCCCACCTCGGATGGTTTTTGCGCCATTTGGTCTTTGATATAGCTATTGTTTCAAGATGTTTCAAGGGCAAGGCCCAGGTCAGGTTTCCTTGCTGTTGTTCTTGATGGTTCAACCTTTTAGGTACAGCCCAAAATACATCAAAATACGATATCGTGTGAGATCACTGTTTATATACCACCCAGACGCTCCAAACAGCCCTTGGCCCCCAAAAAGGTCAGGGATTGATTCTACCCCGGACCCGTCCATATAATATATGAGGGTTTTGATCCGTTATGAGGGTCCATGAGCGTTTGGGCACTAAATCTATATTTTGTGTGTGTGTCGGTTTCACCGCAGACCCGAATGCAGGCACACCGCAGGACTTGCAGTTTTCGAGTCGAGAACTCTTTGCTTCGTATTTGGGGTAAAGATGGGAAAAGGCAAAATCACCTGTTGGAAGGACGCTACTAGGGGCTCCCGGCATTGCTACTAGGAGCAAAGACGCTATTAGGGGCTCCTGGCATCGCTACTAGGAGCAAGGATGTTGGAAGTTGTCCCAGGGTTGGAACAGGAAAACCCCAAGGTTGGATCAAAAAGGGTGCATGGACAAGCTCGCGAGCAAGCTCTCATGGACTGTCATGGACAAGACTTTGCCAGTGGATCCAGTTACCACTAGCGCATAGCTAGTCCATGGTTCCAGTTCTACTTAGACCAAGCGAGGGCAGTCGTGAAACCTGGGATCCACTGAAGATAATACATGGTTCTTGCATCCGGGCATTGCATCATTGATCCACTGGATGTTTTGCACCCCATGGGATTGTACTGTGTCAAACGTTTGGATCCACCGCAAGCGCGGTCTCAGGGCCAACAGTGATGGGACCCAGAACTCCTAAAGCACTGCCAGTTGTCGCAGCAGTGGTTTTATTCTGGATGCCCAGCCTCGACCTTCTCAAACGCTTGGACATTCCATATATATATATATATAGTGCACCTAATTTAAACATATCTAAAGTTTGATTATATGAATGTCAACCCTTTGATGAAGAGGCTTTACAAACTGATCGAGGGGCAATCTAATTAATCAAGAGTCCACCTTCAGAAAGCTTTCTCAACGCCTGTCGTCCTGGGGCCTGTGGTCACTCCATGGTCGTCCGAACGCGCCTTTGTCGGTGGCCAAGGCAACGAAGGCACTGCACCTCGCACCATTCAGGCGCAGAAATCCGAGACCATCGCACGACGCATTCTTTCGGGGATAGACAGGAGGGTGGTTGATATAGAGAAGTTCTTGTTTTTGGTCTTCTGAAATACCTAGCACCATTGGGTGAGCCAATCTCCCACACCAATGATCACCTTTTGCATGAAATGTCGGGGGTTGAATTATCCATATACCAGGAGTCCCTGAGTGAGTGGATAATGGGCACCCCTATCCCCCAATAGGCACCCCTTTGAGACTCATGGTGTATGTATTTTACATGTTGTGGCGAGGTCGATGTCAAATTGACCGTTCACTGCTTCAAGCAACGTTCCAACGGCAACGGCTCCAAGCATGTCATCCTTGGACCACTATGATTCATAGAGGGGAGAGGTATCCCTCCCAGTTTACAACCAATAGGTCAACGGTGGCACCGCCGCCTCTCTTCCCAAGACATCACTCCTTCCACCCGGTGTCCACCGACTCCACTCGCAGGAGATCTTCCGCGTCACCGCACAGGCGGCCGAGAAGAAGCCAAAGTCAGTCGAGTGAAGAGGATGAAAGGATCACGAGATGTTGTTGAAGTTGTGATGTTTTTGTTTGTTTTACACTCTGACTCACTAACATGGAAGTGGAAAATGGTCCCTTGGAAGACTACTTTCCTTTACAGACAGGGTTGTTTCCACTTCAAAGATAGCGAGTCGGAGAAAATTTTGTTCGACAATTTTTTGCATCTCCAGACTCCAGAGAGTCTCCATAGATAAACTTGGCAAGCCTAGTTCGCACCCTTCATGGGATTTGTGTGTCAAAGAGAGCCAGAGCCAGACACCAAGCAAAGAGAAAAAGACATGGTTTTTGTGTTCTTCGACTTTTGTGGCTAGTGGATATAGTTTTGGCTGTTCGTACAGAAAGGACTTCGTTCTTTTTTGACCCTCGCTTGTACGAAGGCCCCAGTCTTTATCTTCCCTTAAAATAGTGATGCCACTGGGAATGCCACGGGGCCTCGTCATGTCCTTTTGTACGTACAAAACACGACAGGACAAAGATCAGCCCAACACCAAGGTGTGAAACTCAACAGAGTAAGAAGTTCACAATCAGGTGGACACATGATGGAAAAGCGCTCTCCATCAGGCTTACGACCGCCTTCCACTCTAAGGTCCTGTTTCAATATACCCTTTGAAACGCAGAGCTTCGTCAGACCGGTTGTCCCATCCTCTCGCCGCTGTCGGCTGTCAGGGCTCAGATCGTTTCAGCTACACGGTGTCTGGATCGATGTTGGAGCTCTACTGCAACAACATTGTGGATTTGTTATCCAAGGCGAACCCCAGCCGTGGGGCCCAGCTGGGATTGTGCGCCTGTTTTTTTTGCCGAAATCGCAGGTGGGGTGCTGTTTGTTTTGGCTGCTGGGGTGAACCGGTGAACCTCCAATTCCACAGCTGCTGCAGTGACTTTTGTTTTTTCACCCGAGCCTTTGACTCTTCAGATGAACATGGACCCTGAAAGCCACTGGGCGGGATCCATGAGAATCGTCTCACACGGATTCATATATATATATATATAATCGTATATAACTATATATATATATATTCACGGTCCACACATCTCGTTTGCAGCGCTCTTTTTCGCGTTTTTGGGGTTCGATGCTTGGGCTGCCACGAAGGTCGAAGGTCTACAGAGGTTAAGGGAGGTCGACCAAACAATTAACTCTGACCACCTTCCCAGTAAACTTTTTCGGAGTCCCATCCTCACCGACCTCACAGGCCTGTGAAAGTGACCGACCTCACTGGGAAGATCCAGAGAGCCCGAAAGTAGTAGTAGTAGTAGTAGTAGTAGTAGTAGTAGTAGTAGTA